CACGGACTAAGATATACAGGACTGGAAACGATAGACTGGGGGGGTGTAGTGGTATGGCTCTCAAATGTTTCGGTTTGGTACAATCGTGACTGTAACTGCTACCTGGTGTACTACACAACTACTAGATGCAAAAGTACAAAACATTAATTCGTATTTTAAGAAACTACCTATTTAAAGACTGAAGTTTATAGTTTTAGTTTAAATTGTTTAAAATACATTTTAAAAATGCCTCGGCAATGTTCCGTGATTTTGTGTAAGAGTTTAAAAGAAAAACATGTAACATTGTTCAAAGTTCCTGCTACTGATTTCCATTCATGGAATGAAATTATTGTCAGAATAAATGGGCCCTATAATAAACATAAAGTGTCCTACATTTGTGCTGAACATTTCACTGAAGACGATTTGATCACAACTTACAGTGGACCAGATGATTTAGTAAGAAAATATAAAATATTTATTCTAAGAATTTTTTTTAAATTATTATTTTATTGCTCACAATTTATAATCAACTATAGGTGATGGGAAAAAGAAAAAAAATGGCATTAAAAAAAGGTGCGATTCCATCAATTTTTAATTTTCCATTAAATACGTCTGAAAATGCTGAATGTGATTCAATGGTACCTGCATCTTGTAGAAAAGAATTATTTGGTGAACTCCCATCTAAACGTTTATGTACAACAGTATCCTCACAAGTATGTTTATAAAAGTATTTATAAATTATTATTTATGTTCAGTTAGATCTAATCTTGTTAAGTATATATTATTTTACTATTTTATTTATTTAAAATACCTATTTTAATTATACCAGCAATTTATTTATTACTTTATGTGATTTATTGAAGGACCTATTTTCATCTTTCAAAGGATTGTTATTGCCAGTTGGATGGATATTATACCAAGATTTATGTATGGTATCATTGTATAAACTAAATAAATCATCATCAAATGAGATAAAAATCATTATTGAAAAACAAATTGTTTTTCAATCAAGTAACTTGAACATAAGCTATTTTGTAAACCAAAAACGCCAGGACTCAAAAATGTTAGGTCTAAAACAGTTAACATACCCACTGGACATGATTGAAATTGCCAATACTGTTCAATTATTTGATAATCAACTTATTTGTCAAGGGGGCCCAAGTGTCATAAACTTTCCAGGTATCTACGCATATTTAAAATATTTTGGAAATAATAATTATTATTTATTCCTATATATTATACATTATTATATTATATTATATTATAGATATAATATTGTTTTGTAATATTTAATTATTTGTAATTAGGTATTCACATAAAAAACACTCACTTAGAAGGTACAATATGGCGCCATGATAAATGTTCTATTCTAACTGATTTGAAAAAGAGATGCGGAAAATGCAATTTATTATTTCCTCAATTTAGGACTTATAAAAAAAGATTGACTCAAAACAATAAATCGTATTATGTGGGTTCAGTTCTTACTCCTAGAAGACGTAGTGTACTAGGTAATATATTAAGAAAAACCAAAACTGTCAAAAAATCAAATAAAAGGTAAAATTATTATCATTATTACAATACAAATATTAAGGATGTACAATGATTTGAATGATTTATATTTATATTAATCTAAGATTTAAGTCAACCATCCAACGATTAAACATGTTATTGAATAAAGAACAGAACAAATCAAAAGAATTAACAAATGAATCTATTGATAATATATTTAGAATGGACAAATTTAATAAATCTCAGAAAACAATAGTTAGTGAAATCATTACTGCCAGTAGAGTCACAAATTTGAAAAATAGAAGGTATTCAGAGGACTGGATTTTATTATGCATCTTATTAAAAATAAGGTACTTGTACATTAAATATAAATTCTGCATTTTAAAATACTTTAACTAAAGTCTGAAAAATGTTGACATTATAATTTTTAATTTATAGATCTTCTTCAACATATAGATTTTTGAGGGAGCAAAAAATATTACCACTACCTTGCCCAAGAACAATACGCAATTATTTATCTTTGATAGATGTTAAATGTGGCTTTGACCAAAAATTTTTTCAGTTATTAAAAAAAAAAATAGGAATTCTTAAGCCAGAACAAAAGCATGGTATGCTTGTATATGATGAAATGTTTTTGAGAGAAAGTTTTAATGTAAATTCCCAAACATTATCCTATAGTGGTTTAGAGGATTTTGGGGGAGAAGTTGATTCATGCGGATTAAAAGCAAACCATGCATTAGTTTTTATGTATCAAAGTTTAGCTATGAACTTTACTCAGGCAATTGCAGTATTTACATCGAGAGGACCTGTTAAAGGTACTTTTTCAAATCTATAAGATTCCTTCTGTTCAGATTTACTAATAATACTCATAACTAGTTACTAATTAATTATGTATGTACTTGTCATTGGTGTAGGACGTAGATTGTAAACAATTAAATACCTACTTGTATTCCTTGTCCAGTGAGAGAATGCTGACCAAAATCGGTGTCAAAGTATCTGTTTTATTCTATATTTCTATTTGTTATAATATGTTATTTATTTTTTGTTAGTGTAACTNAAACGATAAATTTGTAACATGCAGTAAGAATTCGTTATAAGTATTTTCAAACACATCAACTGAACTTGCATGCTTACAAAAACAGGTCTCTAGAACTTGTAATATTTTGAATAAGTTGTTGTTTGGATAAATTAAAAACCCTCTATTTTTAAGATTGACTAATTCTGATTCCCTTCCTTTGTTGCCAGTATCATTTTTTATACTTTTAATGCATAACTCGCATTTGGATTTTTTACATAGCCGCTTAGCTAAATACCTACGAGATAAAAAAAAATATCAGTTATTTACTTGTTATTTAATTATTTAAAGAGTATTTTTTACCCTCCTAAATAGTACACAACACATTCAAAAACTGAACTTTTGGAATAATCATGTTCTAAAAATAAGTCCTCACAGTCCCAATTGCCCTCTTCAATTAATACATCTAATTTACTTGTCATATTTTTTATTTTTTCTTCTCGCAATGATGAATTAGAATTAATGAGATTTTTAAAGTCGCATATTTCTAATACAGGTTTTTGATCTGTAAAATATTTTAAAATTCTCTTATATTTTAAAATTTAAACCGAGATTTAATAATGGCTCATGATTTTATAAATATAAATTATTTACCTTCATTTGTTATACAGTTGCCACTTTTTGGTGGTTTTATTAGTGAACTCACAGTTAACATCCTATATAGTTGCAAAAATGTTGGCGTAGAAGGGTGGTCATTTGGACCAGATACCTGCCTTATTATTCCAAAAAATTTCTTAAAATAAAATTATAAATTATGAAAAGTAAGTACCTATCAGTATATTACATATTTTAAAATGTATTAAGCTTATGTATTATACTTCTAATTTATCTTGATTCATTTTAGCTGTTAACACAAATGAAAAGTTACATTCATCCAGCAAATATTTTGAAAGTTCAATAGTCGAATTGATTGTCACCCTAAGCCCTTCAGCTGTTTGCTGTGTCAAAAATTCATTTGCAGTTATAAGTTCTTTTTGGACATTTAACTCCCAAGCATCTAACCATTCCATTGATTTTTCTAGAACCTGCATAAGTTTTAATAAGATTAGAACATATATTTATGTAATAATAATAATTCTAACAATTAACAAACAATTAACCACAAAACACAAAAGCATCATGCGTCACAAATATTTTATAAATAAAATTAATATAATTAATAATATTAATAATAATATAATTAATATATTATACACACAAACAAACATACATTTCCAGTATTTTGCAAAACAAATAATCTCTTCTTCACTCAAAATGTAAAAGGTTTACGAGGATCTATCTCCCATATTCCCCGTGGTTAGGCTCCTTATGGGGGCGTCTAATTTCTTTTGCACCGGGGCACAAAATGTCTAAATATGGCACTGACCACTGTCTCTATTTGTGCCTTTATTTGTTAATACAGTCCACTAGATAATACCTAAAGCTTCAAGTAGGTAAAACAAGTGTCTCATGCAAACAAACATAGAGATTTTTCAATATAAAAGAAAACCTCAAAATCATAGGAGTTTTTCTTATTCCTTCTGCAGGAAATTTACGATTCAATGTGTCGAACAAATTATTTAAGACTAATGTAAACTGTTCGGTTTCCTCCGAATCTTTAAGGTTTTGATATCTACTCCTGTAAAATTGTATAGCTACAGCCATTGAGTTACTGAAAAGCTGAACATTAAAGTTTAATATTATTATATATTATTTAATTTTATGAAAATAGATTTTAACTACCTATTTAAACAGAATTCAATATAATAATTTATTATACATATATTTATTATAAATATGAAATTGAATTACCTGCGTAGCATACTTCACTTTCATTTTTGATAAATTAGTTAAGAAAATATGATTTTTTGTTATTTTAGGACAAACTTTTCCTAATAAATTTTCTTCGATTTTGTACACTTCAGTATAATGTTCCCACTTTACAAACAATTTTGACGGATGTAACTAAATTAATAAAAATATTGAGTATTAAAATAGAAAGAAACATATTGAAACCTTATAAATAAAAATAAAAATACATTTTTTTCATATAAATAAATAAATATATAAAGAATGATTATCATCATAAATTTAAAATTATACATACTCTTAAACATTTTTTATCATGTAAACGATTGCGGACTGTTTTAATTAGGTGAGGTCCGTCACTAAATACAAATACTTTTCTTTTATCGTCAAATGGGTTGCAGAAACTGTTTAAGGTATTGCCAATCTTCCCTGAAATGCCTAAATTATTCCACATTGTCCTATTTGTGCTGGCTCCATCAGACGTTAATCCCAAAACTTGGGCTCCAGCATTTTCTAACAGCATTATGGCCTTGATCACCAATTTGGTTAAATCAAGTCCTTAAAAATAAAAAATAATAAAAAAGGTACCAATTTTTTAATTTTACAGTACTCAACATTTTTCTAATCAGTGATAATTGTTATACCTTTTACTGGGCCTTTGGATGCAAAAACTGCGATGGGCTGTGAAAAGTTATCAGCAAGACTTGACCACATTAAAACTAAGCCATGATCAGCTTTTTCAGTTTCTCTATTAGGGAGTTCTCCTCCAAAATCCTCTAAACCAGTATAGGTTAAAGTACGACTGTTGACTGATATACTAGAGCGTAAGAATACTTCATCAATGAGTAAAATTCCTTTTCTCTGTTTCTCAGTTTTGCTCAACATTTTCTTTTTCAATAGTTTAAAAAAATTCATATCAAATCCACATTCATTGTTAATTGCCAAAAGGTATTTTCTAACTGTTTTTATACATGGAAGTGGAAGTATACTTTGGTCCCTGAGAAATCTATAACCACTAGGGCTTCTGAAAGGTAAGGTATTAACTTATATAAAGTATACAATTACAATTTTATATATATACTTACCTAATTTGCAAAATCAGACATAATAACATCCAGTTATCACTATACCTCATTTGATTTTTGCATTTAACTTTAGAAGCATTAAATATTTCATGCACCAAGTTTGATTGACATTCAGTTAAGTTTGATTTTTGAATTATTTCATTGAGTGTAGAAGTTTTGATATTTTTCATTTGAATTTTGATATTGTCCAGCTGTTGTTTTAAATTTTAAATTTTTTTATGAGCTCTTAAACATTTTTGCCGTATCATTTTTTTTGAGTTAAGAATTTTCCCAAATTTTCTTCTCTTGCTTGGTGTTAAAGGTACTCTTATAGGTTTACCAACTGATAACCGTTTTAATTTTTTAATAATTAACAATTTCAGTCGCTTACACCATACACATAATTCACTAATCAGAAAATTAATAATCAACAAATATTTAAGTAACTTTTTTTTCAAATATATTTTTGATTGAAACTACCTAATATTTACAAAATTTTTTAAAATAATAATGTATAAAAACATAAATTATTAGTAATTATGCTTTAATAATAATAGTTTAATTGAATGTATTATATTATTATACATACCTTGTTCCAGCTGTTACAATATTTAAACAATTTGAATGTTTCCAGTGGCCATTTGATTCCACAAATTGGGGGCCAAAAGAAGACATTATATTTTTATTAGGTTGTACTCCGTGACATACTTTNAGGTAACATATCTTATGATTACTAAAATATTAAAATAACAATAATAAATACAAATATAGGAATAGTAAATAGTTATTAATTTGAATATAATATTTATATTTCAGGTTTTAAGTAACTCTATGGCTAGGGGAATAGAATTTTATCGTGATTACTGCAAAGTAGAATCATTAAAAACTAGCCATCAAACAGAACTTTTCACTGACCGTTTTAATAAACTATTTGATGTGCTAAATAGAAAATATCCCGCAGAAGGAATTAGAAATGGTAGTCTTGACTTTCAGGTATAGTAATAATATGAACCAAAATATAATCCTAATAGTTATTTACTAAATTTAATCAGATTTTAGAAGAGAATCTTAAATGGATAAACTGTTGGGAGGACCAAGTAGTGAATAAAAAAATAAGTAAAGATGAGTATTTAACACAAAATACTGCGGATGGGTTGCGTGTTACCATAAAGTCAACTATAGAATTGTCAAAATATTTATTAGAGCAATGTGGATTTAAGTACATATTGACATGTAAGACGAATCAAGACCGTGTGGAGGTAATCGAGTTTGTTACTAACATTATTGATTAACGATAATTGGTTTATACATATAACTATTGATTATAATATATACTCAATGATATAAAATAGATATTTTATTTTATTTATAGCAATTTTTTGGTATGGCTAGGCAAGCCACTGGTCCTAATGAACACCCCACCACTCCTACATTTCTACAAGTATACAAAATGATATCGGTTTATTCATTACTTAAGCCTCCAAAAACAGGAAACTGTAAAATATTAGAACCTAACATACATACAATTACCATTAATGATCTAAAATATGTTTTAAATAATGAACATGTTTCACAAAGACATGAAAAAATTGAAACTTTGAAAAAAAAGCTAGACTCTTTAGTCATGAATGAAGTAGAAGTAAACGACATATTTGATAATAATATACATAATTATTATAAAGCAGAAGTTGAAGATTGTGTCCTATACTATATATGTGGCTATATAACAAAAAATATTGTAAATAAAGTTAAATGTAATAATTGCCTTACAGTGTTAACTGGTATGTATACAAAATAATTGATTTTAAAATAATCACCAACTTGAAATTAATTACTAATCTCTATAATTTAGGTAAAAAGTCTTACTCAAGCAAACCAGAAGCTACTCTTCTAAATTTAAAAACACGTGGTAGTTTGACTCATCCAAATGATTTTTTATTTAGATTACTGATCACTGTTGAAAAATCATTTGTCAAGTATTGTGAAAACAATGATGTATTTTTAATGACAATTGATGACTTTTTTAGCAACAATCAAAGTATCAATTTTCCTTGTGTTGAACATAAAAAAGACGTACTTACACAAATTATTTCAAATTTTATAATCATGCGAATGCAACAGTATTCATTAATAACAAATAAAAATACAAATAAACTTAATGCAAAAAAAAAAAAGCTAGCTAAATTAGTAAATACATAGGTAGTAATAAATAATTAGTAANTTCTATTCTAGTGGAACATACCGAAATTTGGTTGCTGCCTTCCCCAGACACCCATGTGGAAACAATATCAGACGGTCTAAAATGTTTCTCACATACCCTGGAATGCCTGTTTAATGAAATACCTATGGCTTTTTCCCAAATCTCGTGGCAATTTTTGGGAATGCCGAACTTAGTTTTAGCACTGTCGCAGCAACCAGGAACACAACATTTATTCGACACCATGATTGTTTAATAAAGTTAAATAAATTATGCATAGACAACTACAAATACATCGGCCCGTTTTTCGCAACATACGAGAATAGGCGAGTCTGCGCTGCAGTATAAATAGTATAATCTTAAATATATTAAATCATGTTCCAAATCAAAAATTGGCGGGCCAATAATGTAAAGAATATTGATAAGTGAAAATGATATAAAATAGAATAGTTTGCTATTTAACCGCTGGAGCGTTAACTGTAATTCTCACAGTATGGAACAGCTGTTTCTGTATTGGAAACATTGGGCTTCAACAAAAATGTGGTTTTGTATAGAGCGTTGCGCAACCTGTCTATCTTAAATCATGACCTATATTCAAACAGCTGCCAATGAGTAAATAATATTATTTAACACTTGTAAACAGTTTAAGTCACAGTGTTACCAACATCTCCAACCGGAAAAAAAATTTATTTATTACTATAATTATTTCTTGGAAAAAATATAATATAAAAACTTAAAATGTCGTTATCAGAATTCGATCTAAATTTTCTTGGGAAAATTATCAAAACTAATACAAAAATTAATCGTAAGTTAGGTAATCAATGTTTATGTACTCCTCGAAAGTCAAAAGTTACTCTTACAATATGTGCTACTATCATTTATTTAATACTAACCGCCAATTAATAATATCAAATCAAACAATAGGTACACCATAGTGTACTCTGGGTCTGAAAGGGTTTTAATGTTATTTACATACAATTGTAAATATGATACATTATTTTATTTAAGGATCGTAATGAGAGTTAAGATTTTATAGAATTTGCATATTAATTTTTATAACATTTTTAAGAAATAGCATAGTAAGTTTACAATTTGTTTAGTGGTTCAGAGAAATGAAATTAAAAATTTAATTTAGTATATTTCGCGTTTTTTTAGATTTTAGTGCTATTTCCAGGCTTATTGTGATTTTTTTTACGCATTTTGATCTTTTTTTTAATCAAAATGTTGTAGTATTATTTTAAGAAACGTGTTTTTGATTAATTTTTGATTTTAAAAGTAAATTTAGATTAGGTAAACAGACCGAATACACGGATTGGTGGACGTGACGTGAGTAGTGGCGTTCATCATTTCGTATATATATCTACTGGTTTTGATTGGCTCCTTTTATAATGTAATGTAAAGCTAAAACTATTGTGTAATGAGTGTTGATAGCGTTGTATCCTGTGTTAAAACAATCGACCACTCTACTCAAAAATCGTACTGATACCTTTATAAGAATTTAAGTAGTTTCAGTTTGTACGTTGTACGTGTTGTGCAGTTGTGCTTATCCTTTGTCGCGGCTTAACTTGTACCTAACTTTGTTCTAAAATGTAAATGTTCACATATTCTGTTGTTTTTATTGAATATTATTAGCGTTATTAAAAGTAATATTTTAGCACATATTTATGCAATTTTAAGTTAAGTGCTATAAAACCCCAATCCGGATCATAACTACTATAATCGGTAAAAACAATGAAAGTTCATGTCTAATAACATAATTTGAGACTAAATAGGACTAAATCTAATTCTAAAATGAGTACTTAATTCAAATATTCAATATATAAACCAAGTTATTGTCTTGCTAGATGCAAACCCTTGCTGTTAATAACCAATATAAAATATAAATTTAAATTAAAATCCTACATTGTATTATTGATTGTTAAATTATAGTAAAACCTTATGATAATATCCCTATGAGGTACTTTATTACTTCAGCTAGGTCTATTAAAACTGAAAAGTATTTAATTTATAAACAATCAATGATAACTTAATTTCTTTTTGTCCATTTTCCAGCAAGCAAATGTCAATGTAGTAACAAATATTATAATTTATAAACAGACCTAACCACATCAAACGTCACTTGTCGGAAATTGTACTACGAATGATGAACAATAAAAAAGTTATCGTTAATAAAATCAACGACGATACAATCATATGTACATATCATTATATCAAGATAACAAGACTAAATATAAATCATTTCATTATGCTGTTGTGTTGTCTATGTACAACTCGTATTATTTTTATTATACTTTCTTGAAGTAATAGACCTGAAAATATTGGTGTGGGTAACGGGTGGGTGTATCTTCACATAATCTGATGTATATAATAAACTCATAACTAATAAGTAATAACTAATAATGAATTAATGAATAGTCAAATTGTGTTTGTTGGGATAAATTATATTAATTAGCAACTTGATTTACACAGTTCTCGTAAATAGGTAGTCATCAAAAAAACCTAAATTAACTTTGAATTAACTTTTTGGCATACATTTGATATGCACCGGGTAATGTGGATGGACCAAGTTCATGGACGTGACGCAATCAGCAAAACAGATAGTGCGTCAAACATAGTATGATAATATTATAATGTATTTTATTTACACATCTCGCCGATTATGATAATTCTGCCCGACCGCGACATGTTTATTTGTATGTTGATAGATTATAAAATTAGGGGCATTTACGAAGTATTAGGTCAGTAAGGTTTTATAATTGTTGCAGCATATACCAGAAGTAAATTGATGTCTGCGCGCCCCTATGGTACAAATTATATTCCTTACAAGTATACTCACGTTTCTCAAAGTAAAAAATAATTTTGGACCAACCTTAATGCATTAATTTAGAAGTTTGGAAACAAAATAAAGCATATACTTTGCAGCTACCACAAAATATATGAATATCTAAACTTAAATCTAAATTACAAAACATTAATGCTAATATATTTCATACGTCCAAAATGTTACAAGAAATGCAGAGGCTGGCCACCTTAACTTGTTTCCTGGTAAAGTTGGTAAGAAATGATGTTGTTAGTTTTTTTCAAATAGGTTACTAAAAGTTATTTCAAAGTTCCAAAATATTGGTGAAGGTTTGAAGTTTATACGACAAAGTGGGGGAGGGGGGCTACTTCACCCAACTTATTGGAGGTGGTAAATTAACAAAACTGTAATCGTTTTTTTTTAATGTGTACCAGGTCCACAGTATTGATAACCTACAATGAATTAGTGCTCCCCTTGCTTTGACCACAAATGGCTGTGAATCATTCCACAGCAGATTTAACAACGAATTCAATTCTGCTTATCCTAAAATTTCTAAGGTTATTGACATACTAACCGAAATACAATCCGAAACACAAATTAAAGCTCGAAGTGGTGTAAATTCACCAAAATCGACAAAAAAACAGGAGCTCATTGAAAACCTTATCCGAGAATTTTCAACAAATAAAATAACTACCATAGATTATATAAAAATTT